TACAGCACTGTCCATTTGTTCACACCCACAGAATGGATGGTACTAATGGCAAATCCATCCAGATACAATTCACTCTTGACTTTAGTTAATAAGTTATATACTGATACTAATTCATTGATTGTAACAAATTTACCACACTAATTCAAAATGTTACCAGTAGTAAGAACTATGCTGACAGACACAGGAAGGGTGGCAACACATGAAAGAAGTTTTTGCACTTCTGGAATATCTGTAGATTTAATGATACTCAGTAAAATTAATTAATTGATTAATTCTACTGGGTCTGGAGAGCTGACTCAGCAGATAAGAGCATTTACTGCTCTTGCAGAGGATACAGGTTCGACTCTCAGCATCCACCTGGAAGCTCACAACTCTCTGTGACTTCAGTTCTATTGGGTCCAACACCTTCTTCTGGCCTCTCTGGGCACCAGCCATGCACATGCTGTACATAGGTACATGGCAAAAAACCACTCAAGCACATAAAATAATAATTTTTAAAACTAAAAAAAAAATCCACAGTTCTAGTGCTAGAGAGATGGCTCAGTGTTTAAGAGCACTGCCTGCTCTTCCAGAGGTCTTGAGTTCAATTCCCAGCAACCACATGGTGGCTTGCAACCATCTGTAACCAGATCTGGTGCTTTCTATGGGTGTGCAGGCATTCATGCAGGCAGAACACTGTATACATAATAAATAAATAAATAAATAAATTTAAAAATACACAATTCTAAAATAAATAAATTCTACTATCTTGAGAAGAAAAAAGCATGGACTTTTGGATGCAACACAAAGAAAAACCTAATATAAAAGAGTTTTTCCTGGAAAGTAACAAAGAGCCTTAAAACATTACATATTTATTTAGAAGAAAAAAAAAATGTCTTCCCTTACAAGGGTTGTGTGAGGATAGCTCAACTCAAAGGTCTAAGACAAACACTTGGCTTTTCATCATTGGCAACTTGAATCCCCCCGCCCCCTCTGAGGAAAGGATTTGCAGAGATGGCAAAAGTATTTTTGATCAATTGTGGATTCAAAGTTTGTTTTACACATTGATCTTTTCCCTTCTTCAATCAATGCTCTTTTTCACAGCTCAAGCCTTCCAGAGTCAGTGAAAAGTAGACTGTGGTGTCATCTATGGCCCTGGGAACCTTAGTGGTATGGTCAATACCACTTAGGCCTTTTGAGATTCATTTTCAATCACATACAACAGAAGGGATTTCTGCTTCATAAGCTTGCTATAAAGAATAAGATAGCCTGATATTGAGCCCATCCTGGAATACACAGTGTCAGGTCAGCCTGAGCTACATAGTAAAACCTTGTCTCATAAAAACAGTATTTGGAGCCTAGAGAGATGACTTGGGAGTTAAGAGTACTTGATGATCCTGCAGAGGACCTGAGTTTGGTTCCCAGCATCATATGGTGGCTCACGAACATCTGGAACTCCAGTTCCAGGGAATCCAATACTGTCTTCAGGCATCTGTGGATACCAGGCATGAAAATGGTGCACAGACATACATGTAAGCAAAACACCCCACCCATAAACATAAAATCTAAAACAAAGCTTTAAGAAGCAACATTTGGAGCTGTGACTCAGTAGTACAGGATTTGTCTAGCATATGTTCCATCCCCAGCACTGAAAACAAAAAGTTGGCATTCTACTGTATAATCCATACATGTTACACTTAAAGGTAAGGATCTTCAGTATTCTACCCTGTAAATTGTGCATACTGATTTTATTTATTCTTCTCTCATATATTACATCCCAACCACAGTTTCCCCTCCCTCCTCTCCCCCAGCCCCACTTCCTCTCTATCTCCCAGATCCATTCCGCTTCCATTTCCCTTCAGAAAAGAGCAGGCCTCCCAGGGATATCAATCAGACATGGCGTAACACTCTATAAGACTAGGTACACACCCTCATATCAAGGCAGGATGAGGCAACCCGGTAGGAGGAAAAGGATCCCCAAAGCAGAGAATGAGTCAGAACAATGAGTCCCAACACCCTCCCACCCCCTCTCCCACTGTCAGGAGTCCCACAAGAGCACCAAGCTATACAACCAGAACACATACGCAGAAGCATATTAATTGTGCTAAGCGCTTTACGGTTGTAATCTCATGTAACTCTTTCCCCAGCCCTGAAAAACAGGAATTCCTAGCCCCATTGATAAGGCACACAGAAGTGATTTGCCCAAGGTCACACAACTGATAAATGAGTCACATTAGGATGAGAAGCTTAGCCTGCAGTCCACAAGTGTCCTCGACTGTCTACACATGGAGTCCCTATTAGCACAAAGAGTCAGCATTGTGGGTGACCATTTTATATTTTACTGCACAGTTATGGTGTTAAACTGCCAGACTTCCCCGCCCAATCCGAGTGATAATATACTTTTACAAAGTGGCTATGGCTGACAGGGATGGTGAAGAATTGGACAGATTTCCTCAGTAGCACACAGGAGAAGGAATCACTTCTTGCTCTACAAGCCTTCAGATATTCCAGATGCATAACACTGCACCAGGCCATCCACATAAGCAAGGGTAGTATCCAGAAGCTGCCCCTGGCTCTGACATGTTCCATCTTGATTATGCCTATAGAAAGGCCTGTTGTTTTTGGCAAGACTATCTATTCTCAGTACTCTTTTTGTTTTTTAATGTGTAAATGTATGCAGTGTATGTGTATGTGGGTACACATACAGGTCTGGGTGCACACATGTGAAAGCCTGAGAATGAATCTCTTCTCCAATCACTCTCTGCACTATTTATAAAGGCAGGTCTCTAGCCAAACCAGAACCTGGCATTTTAGCTGGTCCAGCCATACAAATCCTTATTCTAAGGATTACCTGTCTCTGCCTCTCTTGTATTGGAATTACAGATAAAGTACTAACTCACTTGTTTTTACCTGGGTCCTGGTTATGTAAGTCTTCATGCTTGTACAGCAAGCACATTACCCACACCATCAACCCCACCCCCCACACCACTCAGTCTTAAAACTGATAGCCAGCTAAGAACAATTATAGCCTTTCATTATCATTATTTATTTCCTTCTAAAATATTTTATTTTTATTACTTTTGTATTTGTTAGGGTTTGTGCACATGAGTACAGGTACCTGTGGAGATGCAGAGCTGGATTTACAGGCAGTTGTAAGCCACCAGATGCATGTGCTCAGAGCTAAACGTGGATCCTCTGCAAGAGCAGTAATCCCTCTTAACTGTTGAGTCATCTCTTCAAGCCCCTCATTGCATTCCTCTGTTTCTTACATAATTCACTTGACAGTGTGTACTCACTCGTGTACTTGGGGAAGCCTTGAGCAAAACTGTTTGTCTGCATATGTGAATGTGAGCATGTGTATGGGGGTGGTTAAAAGGACAACTCTTGAAGTCAGTTCTCATCCTCCACCTTATCTGAAACAGTGTCTCTTGTTCCTTGTTGCTGTATACTCCAGGCTGGCTACAATTCTCCTGTCTGCACCTCCCATCTCACCATGGGAGCATTAGGGTTATAGGTGTATGATCCCCAGTCTGTTTTCACCAGGAATCTGTGTATCTCAACGCAGGCCCTCACATCTGGGTAGCAAACACTTCACCCACTGAGCCTTATATTTACTTTTTATTTTGGGACAGGGTCTCACTAAATTATTCAGACTGACAAGCTTTGAACTCACTCAAGCCATGCCAAACACTTGTGATCCTCCTGCCTCAGCCTCCCAAATAGCTGGAATTACAGGCCTGAACCACGAGGTAGAGTTTAAGAATATAATTCTTGATACACTAGCAAAACCTTAATAGAAGGCAACTTTATATTTTATGATGAGTTACCTATTCCTACCATTGCCATAAGTCTGATCCCTGAACTCCAGCAGAACAATGCAGACACAGGAGTGTGTAGACACACGTGTGTTCAGACGTACCTGTTTAAATGCACAGTAGTATTGGAGACGGTAACAAATTTCTATAATTCAGCCCTTGGGAAATAGAGCCTGGAGGATCAGAATATCAAGGTCATTTTTAACTATATAGCAAGTTTGAAGCCACTTTGGACTACATGGGACGGCCTCAAAACTAAAATAAAAGTTTAGTTGTTTTGTTTTGTTCATTTGTTTGTTTTTGTTTAGGGTTTCTTTCTGTAGCTTTTGCTATTCTGGAACTTACTCTGTAGACCAGATTGGCCTCAAACTCACAGAGATCCTTCTGCCTCTAAAGGTGTGTGCCACTACCACATGGCTTCAGTTTTAAAAATAAAAATAAATGGGCCAGCAAAATGGCTCAGGGGTGAAAATATTTGTCACCAAGACCGAAGAACTGAGTCTGAGCCCTGGGATCTACACTACGGGAGGAAAGAACTGGCTCCTGCAAGTTTCCCTGTGACTGTCACATGTGTTTGTGACATACATTCCCATACACACAGACACAAACACACACACACACACAATGCATGTGCAGGAACTTCCCCGATGGGATTCAGTCTTTTTCCTTGGGGAGAGGGGTCATAGTATCACTTTATTTTCTGTTGCTGAGAGTAGATCCCAGTGTCTCACATCTGCCAGGCAAGCACTGTGCCTCTGAGCCACGTACTCAGGCAACTTGGCCATTTTTTTTTTATTTTAACTCTGAAAACTGAGTTGGATTCATTTTCCAGATATTTAATACACTTCAGAGCTCTAACACCAAGGCTTATATATTTGGTCTTCACAGAGACCTCAAACTTCCCAGATGTTAATATATAATATATATTAAATATACTACATATATGAAAGTCTTTTTTTTAAAAAAAAAGCAAATCTTCCTTTTACTCAAATGCACTCTGAAAAGGCAAATTGATGGGAAAATGCAAACAGAATAAAAATAAACGCATCAGGAGCCCAGCATGAGGTACAAGAACAGGGGGCCCTCTTATGCCATGGCTGGAGGAACATTCCAGCATTCCGTCAGCAGGCTTCTAGCCAACCTTGAAGCTCCCTTATATAAAGTCAGCCCCAGGCAGTCCAGAGCAAGATGTGACCTCACAGCCTCCCTGCTCCCTAGTTGCTCCAGCGCTGCTGACCAAGTGGCCAAACTGGCTTGTCCCAGAACCATGGCAAAGAATGGACTTGTCATTTGTATCCTGGTGGTGAGCTTACTCCTGGACCAGACTAATAGCTACCCATCCAGATTGAAAGCCAGGAAACACAGCAAACGCCGTGTGAAAGGTAAAGGGACATTGCTGCCCAGCAGAAACGCTAGGCTTACTCAGGCAGGGAAGGTGCAAGACAAGACTCATACCCAGCACCAGGAGATCATCATTACTTCGTGGGTGTGTGGCTTTGCAGGGGATCCGGTGACTTTTGGAGTTTCTGGGGGAGTTTGCTATTTAAAGAAAACATATACTAGGGGGGTTTAGTATTGAAAAAAAACTCTTATAATGAAAATCATCTCTATTGTGTATCTTTTGTCCAATGAATTTTGATTATGTGGAACATTTCTGAGCTAGAGCTCACATGGCCCTGTGGACATACGGCTTTACGGATGTCGGGAAAGCAATATACTGATTAGTGGTGTTCTGTGATCTCTTGGATGTAAATATATTCATTTGTAAGCTCACTGCAGTCTCATTAAGTCTCATTAAGTAAGATGGCTGGGGCAACTGGCTTCCTTTTGGCTATCCTGTAGGTTTATTTCCCCATCTCTATCAGCTTTGGGACAGCTGTTGAAATCGTATATCTAATTTTTCATATCACTGGGCCCTGAATGTCTCTTTAATTTAAGAACCTGTCAACACAAAATCAGAGAGAATTTAAAGATATTTTGACATGGAATTTGCTTGTCAAGCATAGCTGGATTTGAGGTGGGTTTATGCTAGGTTGAGAGACAAAAACTTCACAGCTACAAAGAATCAAGATGATGGGACTATGTCTGCCCGAGATGGAAACCAGAGAAAAAGAGAAATACAGATGGCCCAGTGGTTTGACCTCAGGCTCTGAGTCATTTTCCTAACAGTGTGTTTCAACATAAATACCATGGCACTGTTTTCTTAGCACTTTTACTTTGTTAAATGCAAAGCCAAGCTGTAAGAGATGACTGGCTTGCTTGGGAAGCAGAGGCAAGAGGATCAGGTTTTCAAAATCATCTTTGGGTAGGGACTTTGAGACTGGACCACATGAGTCCCTATCTCAACAAACAAACAAACAAACAAAGAAAAAAGAATAACCAAACAAAAAACCTCCACTAAAGTCTAGATTTCACACATAACGATGATGAATCCCCTTGTGGGTCTTTGTTGTTATTGTTTTGTTTTGTTTTTCTATTCTCAAGGACCATTTTCTAGGGCCATTTATGAAAGCCTGGTCTGAGTGAAGGTTGCTCAATCAGAGATATTTTTCCTTATAAAGTGTTGCCTCTCCCTGCAAGCTCTTTAAATGAAAGTTTCAGAGTTTTCATGAGGAGGTGAAGTGTATCATGGCAGGTGAGGACAGAGGTGAGGACAGAAGAAGAAAGAGAAGACACCGAGTGGTGTGACATGCTTTTGTGCTCCTTTCTTTACTGTGGGGAGAAGGTTAAAATGTGTGTATGTGAGCTTCTTGCATTTTCTGGCTCCTTCTTGCTCTCTCTTTCCCATCCTAAGATCACCCCAGCTGGATGGGGTTTTTATTTTAATCAGTTGCAAACACATCTTAATCATCCCTACTACCCCTACCCAAAGTAATAATCTTTGCCTTCAGATCTAATGAAAATCAGGTCTACAAGAGGAAAAGCTATTGGCCTAGATTTTTTGGTTACTTCTTTTCCCATCCATTCACTTTTTTTTGTTTGTTTTTTAATATTTTGAGTACCCGAAATAATACCAAAGTTTTAGAACCGAATGTGAAAGCCAAGGCAGGAGTGGTGACACATATTTGTAATCCCAGCACTTGGGAGGCAGAGGCAGAAGACTAGAATTCAAGATAAGCCTCAACTATATAGCAGATTTAAAGGTAGCCTAGACTTCATTAAGACCTTGTCTCAAAAGCACAAAACCACCAACAAAAAAGTAAAATCTGCCCTTTCCCCTCCAATCCATACCCATAATAATCTACTGCTAAAAACAGTAGATAATTATCTCCCAGAATGACATTGCAAATATTTGACAGATAAATAAATTTACTTGACATGAGAGTCTTGGAAAGCAATAAATGGAGGCATGTTTCCTTTGTTTTAACAGCTGGACAGGTTACTTTATTGTTTGTAGAGGCTCTCACTTAACTGGCTCTCCCTTGGCAAATTTTTTGTTGTTTCTGGTATGTTTCTCTTTGACGCAGTGCTCTGCATAAGACCTTTGTGCACATATGTCCTTCCCTGTACTTAGAGACTGTGGTATACCTTCTAGAAGCGACATTCTCTATGAATCAGACTCCCGAATTGTCCTTCAAATAACAGCACCAGTCTATGCCATTCTCACTCAGCTTATCATGGTTCCACTGGAAATATTTGTTGTGTTCTATCCTGAATCTGATACTGTATAGGGATGATCACAAAAGAATAGGAGACCCTTTAAGAAACTCAAAGTGGCAACAGCAGTTAAGCACCATATACAAGTGTTCCCTAAGTACTTACTTCATGGGTCTCAACACATTACGTGTTATACTAATGAATAAAATATACCTTTTAGAGTGAGCTAGCTCCTCTGGGCATCCCTTCTGTTCATCCACCTGAGCAATGGAGAATGGAAGCCACCAAGGCACCCAGAGGATGGCTGCCATAATGATCTCCCAAGAGTCCAATAGGAACACATGTGTCTTTGTGGTAATGACAGTGTTTACAGCTACTTATTTAAATAGAGAGAAACTGGAAGCTGAATAGGGAGGAAGGGGGAGGAAATGTGTCTAGCTGACAGATTGTAAGTTGGAAACAAGACCTCAGCGGGCCTTTGCAGACCTGGCCCCAGGAGCTGATGGGTTTGCATCCTAAATGCCCCCTTTATTTATTCCACTTTGAGTGGTCTCCCAGGAAAAAATTTGTGGGTAATGGTATTCCTGAGCTGAGCTGCTGGATGGTTAAGAACTGATGCACAACGTCAATTGAGACAGAGGCAGAGGGGGTGATGAGTCCCCCAGAAGGCAGGGATGTGGAAACATCTGGCTTGTGAAGCACAAGTTTAAGGGGACAGAGAATTACGACACTGGATTTCATACTCTCCGGAGAAGTCACAGAGACAAAAAACTGATATTCTTTTGTGTGTGTGCCTGTACATATATGTGTTCACAAGTGTGCACATGCATGTGGAAGCCAGAAAACAGTCTCTAGTATTTCTCAGGTGTCATCCACCTTGGGTTTTTTGTTTGTTTGTTTGTTTTGTTTTGTTTTTATAAGTGTCTTTTCTTGGCCTGGAGTTCTGACAAGTAGGCTAGGTTGACTGGCCAGGGAGCTCCAGGTATCTGCCTGCATCTGCTTTTCAAACTGGGATTATGAGTATGCCACCATGCCTAACTTTATTGGTTAAACTTGGGTTCTGGAAGGTCAAACTTGGCAAGCATTACTGGCTGAGCCACCTTTCCAGCCCACAAATCAAGTCTCCACAGGGCAGCCCCACAAAGAGACAGTTGGAGATGGTCCATAGTCATCTTTACATGTCATCTCTGTCTAAGTCCATGTGCTGAGGACCAAGGAGGTGGAGGCAGCTGCTTTGCAGAAACAGATCAGAGGGTGGGAATGAACAGGCTAGAAGCCAGACACACCCACGTTTGAGCTCTGCATCTTATGGTCTGGGAGATATTTAGTGGGTGGATTCATCTTTCTGTCTCTGCACCCTCTTCCATAAGAAGTGTCTTCCATAAGACACTTCTAGATGAGAGTGTCTATCTCAGACACAGAAAAGCACTGATCTCACAACCTAGCGTGTACGATGTCTTTTAATATATTCATCTTTAGTATTTGGTGTGGCTTGTCACAGTACTTAGTGATAGCTAAAACAGTTCTGGAATTTAGATTCTGCCACAGCTACTCACTTATGTACAAGTGAGGTTAGCCAAGGACAATCAAGAAGATTCTTTAACCCCATCTAAGAACATTCAAGAATAAATGACTGGAGCTAGGCACATAATTATGGGTAGAGCCCTTGCCTAGCATACATAAGATATAAGACCTTGAGTTTAATCTCTAATACCACCAAGGTGGGGAGGGATAAAAAGAAGGGAGAGGAAAGAAGGAAATGAGGTGGATAGAGAACACGGAACACAGAGAAATAGTAGGTGATGAGTTTCCCATAGGTAACTTTTCAATGGTTCTTTATCACTCAAACCCCCTAGGAACCACTGCTCCTCCATCATATCTCATCAGCATCATGAAGGTCCCAAGGTCTGGGAGGTGAGTCTCAGTGAGTCTGAGTCCTCTCCCAACCCACCATGGCCCTTAGCTTTTTGCACTCACCCTGTCTTCTGTTAACATTCAATTAACATAAAACTTTTTTATGTCCCACAAAGTATATGCCTCCAAAATAAGCACCATTTGTGTTCAGTGTCATTCATGTCAAGCATAGGGAGGATTCTGGATAATAAAACCAAGGAAATTAAGTAAGTCAAATCCAGATGGTGCTCTGAAGGAAAGTAAACAAGGTTTGGGAAAGGTTAGCAGTGAGGATGCTAATTTCCAGGGTTATCAGAGAAGGCTGCTCAGAATGCACAGTTAGGCTTGGTAAGGAGAGATGAGAGCAGACACCATCTGCAAAGTCCCTACAAACCTTCTCACCCATGGTCTCTCTGCATTTGTTTTCAGGGCACACTTGGCTCAGCTCATCAGCACCACCACTGCCTTGGAGTCTACATTCCAAAGCTGTCATTGTGTTTGTTTGTTTGTTTGTTTGTTTACATCTTAACTTCAGTTTCCCCCCTTCTCTCCTCCCAGTCCCTTCCCCCACCCCTATCCACTCCTCCTTTGTATCTCTCTAGAAAAGGACAGTCCTCCTGTGGACAATAGCCATCCATGGTCTATCAAGTTGCAGAGAGCCTAGGTACTTCCTCTCCTATTAAGGCTGGACAAGGCAACCCTGAAGGAAGAAAGAGTCCCAAAAGCAGGGAACAGAGTCAGAGACAGCTCCTGCTCCCACTGTTAGGAATCCCACAAGAAGACCAAACTATAACTGTAACATATATGCAGAGGGCCTAGCTCAGTCCTATGCAGGCTCCCTAGTTATTGATTCAGTCTCTGTGAGCCCCTATTAGCCCAGGCTAATTGATTCTGCCGGTTTTCTTATGATGTCCTTGACCCCTCTGACTCCTACAATCCTTCCCCTCCCTCTTCCACAGTATTCCCAGAACTCTGCCTAATGTTTGGCTGTGGGTCTCTGCATCTGCCTCCATCAGTTTCTGGTGTTGTACCTGTTGTGCTCAGACTTGAACCCCCAAAATCACCAAGAGACAAGATCTGATCTGCAAAAGCAGTCTTTTTTATTAACGAGTTAACTGGGATTAACACAGGTCCTCTGTCCTTCTGACACAGGGGGTAGAGTAAGAGGGACCCTGAGCAGCAGTGGGGGAAGGCATATATTGGGGTAGAGCAAAGGGAGTGTCTGGGGGGGATCACTAGTTGCATAGCAACAGCCTCAGGAATGGTGCGCCTTCAGGCTCGGGCAACCTGTACTGAGTTGATTGGTCAGCTGTAGCTGCAGAAAGGTTGCTATTCCTTGAGGCCATTCCCTGGTGGTTGCTAAACTCTGCACTCCTCTGTTTTCAGTAAAGCACATCCAGAGATTGCCAGCTAACTTCTGATTGGTTCCATGCCACATGAAGAGTATCTGGCTTCCTAGTGATTAGGGCAAAGTTGGGCAAGGTTGGGGGCTTAGCACATGTTGCTGAGCCAGAGGCCTGTATCTTGCTGTATCTTTTCTGCAGGTGGCTGGGTGAGGGTCTGGGTCCTTCACTGGGTGAAGCCTCTCTGATGACAATTGGGCTAGGCACCTATCTCTGAGTATAGCAGAATATCATTAGTAATAATTTTATTGAATTTTTCCCCCAGTTGTGTTTGGTTCTATCCTTGGTCTCTAGGCTGTCCAACCTCTGGGTTCTGGCCTTCCAGGGAGCATCTGGGGTGAGCTCCCTCTCATGGTATGGGTCTCAGGTTGGACCAGTCATTGGTTGTCTGCTCCCACAATTTCTTCATCACCTGTAGGCAGGAAACATTGTAGGTTGAAGGTTTTGTGGCTGGGTTGGAGTCCCAAACCCTCTACTGAAAGTCTTGCCTGGTTACAAGAGATGCTCAGTTCCTCTGTATCTCTCAGTGTTAATAGTCTTAAGCTAGGGTCACCCATATAGACTCCTGCTTTTGTTTTCTTACATTTCCATTTTATCTAATCAAATGTTTTCCTTTCTACCTCCTCCCCCTCCCCAACTCAACCATGCCCCCCAGAAAAGGATGGTGATCTGAAGTCTCAAGTTGAAAAGTTATGGCGGGAAGTGAATGCCCTGAAAGAAATGCAAGCTCTGCAGACAGGTGAGACATTCTGTCACCAGAGTCTACTCTGGACAGGGAGCAGGCGAGAATCAGCCATTGTCCAAGACTGAACTCATCCAGGTGGAATGTTGAGTTCTGGGGCTTGTCTGCTTATTACAAAAACGAAACAAAACAAAACAATAAAACAAAACAAACAAACAAAAATGACAGCCAGATATGCTTTAACCCCAGTACTCAAGAGGCAGAGACAAGCAAATCTCTGAGTTCAAGGCCAGCCTGATCTACAGAGTGAATTCCAGGGCAGCCAGGTCTAGACTTAGGGCTGAGAATACAGGAGGATCCCTGGGGCTCACTGGCCAGGTAGTCTAGCTAAATCAGGGAGCTCTAGGTACAGTGAAATACCTACTAGAAAAAGAAGGTAGAGAGCAATTGAGGAAGACACATGACATCAGCCTCTGGCTTCCTCACTGAAACACACACACACACACACACACACACACACACACAGAGAGAGAGAGAGAGAGAGAGAGAGAGAGAGAGAGAGAGAGAGAGGGAGAGGCAGAGGCAGAGGCAGAGGCAGAGGCAGAGACACAAAAATTAACACACAAAAACACACATGAAGATACTTTAAAGGCTAGGTTTTAAATACAGGGTCTCATTCCAGTAGTATGGTTCAAACTCACTGCACAACTGAGGCTGACTTTGAACTCCTAATCACCCTGCCTCCACCTCCCAAATGCTGAGGTAATAGCCATGCATCATCATACCAGGCAACTACCTAAAAGTTAATTTTTTCAAATAAATTTTTCTAATAAATATGTTGATTCATCACTTTACATTAACTTCTCCAATAATTCATACTAAAATGCGAGGGAGGGAGACTTAAGTCATGCATTATGACTCTGGGGCTTGGCTCAACAGTACTAAATCCTTAAACTACCTGTGGCTTTATTTTTCCTTGAATAACCTAAGCAATATTACTAGCTACTAGTTATCTTTGTAAGAAAACCACAGTTCCAGCTGAGCATGGTGGTGCATGCCTGGTAATCCTAATACTCAAAAACAACAGGTTCATTCAAGGCCAGACTAGGCTATAGAGAGAACTCCATGCCAGCCTGGGATCTGTGTCAAGACCCTTGTCTTTTAGAGCATGGCTGTAGCTGAGTTGATAGAATGCTTGCCCCACAATGACAAAGCCCTGGGTCCTATTCCAGCGCTGCATTAAAAGCCAGGGGGTGGTGACACATGCCTGATAATGCCTCCGAATTAGTAGGTAGAGATGGGAACATCAGAAGCTGAAGGTCCTCCAGAGCTACATAGTGAATCACAGGCCATCCTGGACTACATGAGACCATGTCTACAAAAACCACAATGATAGCTGGCAAGTTGGCTCAGCAGGCAAAGGTGCCTCCCATCAACCCTGACAATCTGCTTAATGAGAGAACAGACTCTCACATGTTGTCCTCCTCTGCCAAATGCACTGTGGCAGGTGTACACACACACACATACACACACACACACACACACACACGCACGCACGCACGCACGCACGCACGCACAGGCACGCACACACAGTAGGGATGGTGAGGGAGAGAGCCTGTTACAAAAAGCAAGGGAAAAAACTAAAGTAGAGGGAAACTCACTATTCTAGGAGAATTTTTGTCTGCTTTTTTCCCTTCCTTCCTTGCTTCCTTCCTTCCCTTCCTCCTCCCCCTCCCTCCCTCCCTGCATCCTGCCTTCCTTTCTTCTTTCTATTTCTTTTTTGATTATTGCTTTTGAGACAAGGTCTGTCTATGTAGGGCTGGCCTGGCTGGAACTGTAGATTAAGCTGACCTAAAATTTATAGCAAGTATTCTGTCCTCAACTTCTCAAGTGCTACAGTTATAGGCATGTGCCACCACAGGTGGTTTGTGTTTACTTTTTAAATTATTATGAAATTCCATTCCATTCTAAAAGTCCCAAGGAAACCACCATGCGGTTCCTTACATAAACTAGGACACACATTATCTCAAAGCAACCTAGGATTTAAGGTTATGTTTTGAGTCTCTGTGGGTATGTATTCCTTTTACATTCCAAAAACCCATTTGGGGCATGTTAACTTGTAACAATTTCTCTCAACTTCAATAATCTGACAAATGTGGATGTCATGTGGTTGCTGAAATTGCTAGTGCCTATTATTGTGTCTGGCATGGGTAAAGCCATCAATGGTAACTCATTACTGCTGGCACATTAAACATTACACAAACATCTATCAATGCTTGGTATCTATTACGTATGTCACTCACAAAAAGCATTCCTATTACTTTATCAAATTTCCCATCTTCACAGTCTGTCTTCGAGGCACCAAAGTCCATAAGAAATGCTACCTTGCTTCAGAAGGCCTGAAGCACTACCATGAAGCCAATGAAGATTGCATTTCCAAGGGAGGAACCCTGGTTGTCCCCAGGAATTCTGACGAAATCAACGCCCTCCGAGACTATAGTAAGAGGAGTCTGCCAGGTGTCAATGACTTTTGGCTGGGCATAAATGACATGGTCACAGAAGGCAAGTTCCTTGATGTTCATGGATTTGCTGTCTCCTTTCTCAACTGGGACCGTGCCCAGCCCAGTGGTGGCAAGCGGGAAAACTGTGTTCTGTTCTCCCAGTCAGCTCAGGGAAAATGGAGTGATGAGGCCTGTCGAAGTAGCAAGAGGTACATATGTGAGTTTATTATCCCTTAGCAAGTCCCTCCCAAATATCCCTTCCAAATAAGGCTGGTCATGATAAATAAGCTGGTAGTCACCCCAAATAAGCCAAAATTACATTTGTTAATTGCAAAACTGCATTGATATCCATAGGTATGTAGAGTCAGACCATGCTTCTACTATAGCTCATTATGGTGCTATCCTTCGTGTAGCAAAGGGTATCAGAAAAGAATAACCCAGACATGGTAAGAAAGGGACTTCTGAAAATGGGCTGTCAAATCCCTTTCCCATTCTCCTTGTCCATCTCAGGTGGATAGACCTGGCCTATTTGAAAAATATATATGTGTTTCTTCAAGACAGAAAAGCAAGACTGGGCTGCCTGCAAGGTTTATCTTTAAAATTTAGTCATGATAGAAATACATTTTGAGAAATGTGCCATTGGTTGATTTTCTGGTTGTGTGAACATTGTAGTATGCCCTCTAAATGGCCTCTACATGCCCCAAGAGACATAGCAAATATAAGCTATGTGGAGATTCTGCTGGTCCAACATGACAGGCTTTCACAATATACTCCTTTTCCTAAATACAAATACATAATAAAACAACAGTCAAAACACAGCAGAGTATGTTATCTTTCTATCACTATATAATAAGATACCCAACAGAGACATGTGTGAAACAAAGCAAGGTTTATTTAGCTTGTAGTTTCAGTGGCTCAGAGCCAAAGATTAAGCAGCCCCAGTGACTTGGCCAGTGGTGAGAGTGGCAGATCATTAGTGAGAACTCGTGGTAGCATCTAAAACTAGAGCAGAAATAGAGAGGATGAGTAGGATCTCCTTTCTAAGGAGTGTCCCTAATTACCCAAAGACATCCTAGATGGATCCACCTCCGTAAGGTACACAATACCTTTCAAAATTGTCATATCAGTGTCCTTGAGGGGACAGAGCAATCAAATGACCTTCATCTACAGTGTACGATAAACATATAAAACAACACACTCACTTATTATTGTTATCAACTATTGCATGCTATGCTTAATCATTGTCATAAACTTTATGACTAGTGGTGTGCTAGGTTTGTTTTTAGTACTGTCACCAAGAACACACAATGTGCTACATGTAATTTGCTAAAGGAGGATACCAAAAATGTTTCTAGGCAACCAGTTTTTCAACTTCATCACAGCCCTTGGGACAACCATCAAATATGCAGTCTATTACTGGTCAAAATATGCAGTGCATGAATGTATTTGATTGATAAGTGTGTCCTAAGTCAGAGATTCTAGGTGCTATATAATCCATAACCTTTTTTAGCATAGTACTTAATTTCATCCACCCTGTTAGCCTATGGTCCTTGCTTTCACATGCCACATGCCCTGGTGGAACATGCCTCCTGTCTGCCACATCAGAGCAGGGATCTCTGAAGAGGTTCTTATCTAAATCTTCAAATTGCCCGATTCCAGCTTTCTTGGCAGTTCCCAGTCAAGATTGCCTCCCAAAGTGAGTGAGCATATTTGATCAATTTCTGCTCTCAGCATTCTACAATGGCTTCTAGCCAATGGACAAGGCTAAGGCAGGAGATGAGCAGCAGGTGGTGAAGACAAAGAATTTACAGAAAGACAAGGCAGGGCTGAGGGTACAGTCCAGTGGGTAGAGGACTTGTCTAGCATGCAGGAAGACCTGGTATGAAATAAAAAAGGACTCTTAAGCCTATAATCCCTGTGCTGGGGAGGTGGAGACAAAAGGATTAGGAGTCCAAGGCCATACTCTACCAACTGAATTGCAAGTTTAAAGCCAGCCTAGGTTACATGAGGTCTATTTAGACAACAAAAGAAGTATGCCTCTTTCCCTTCCTTTATATATCCTCACAGTCTCCTTTTATATGTGATAACAATGTTTTTTATTTTCTTTACATATATTTCTCCAATTATCATTATGTATTTCACTCTATGAGGGGCAATTTGTCATTAGAAGTTGGAAGTTGGACTTAAGTAACACATGTGTGCAATTTTCTATCCAAACAATGCTATTTCCATTAAATTGCTTAACTAGATTTTATAAAAATAACTTCATTGCTTTAAAAACAGCAGCATAAATTTAAGGCTTAGGGGAAATGGGTTATGTAGAACTAAACAATTCTGAATATATTTTGTCCTTCAAATAAATATATTTTCTCTTTTGTGAATAATGTCCTACTTCCAAGTGCTGAATTACATGTGCTTAGAATAAAATTTCAGGTTTATTTTTTTCATTGCACAATAAAACCCTAAATCTGATCAGTGTGGATGTGTTTAGATATTGACTACATTTATTCAAACTATGATATTTATATCAAACTGGGCAGCATTTCAGAAGGGAAAGACCTGGATTTGATCAAACTGGTAATAACACCTGAGTATCTAGAGAACAATTTCAACTGGCCTTGAAGAAGCACAATTTTGAGATGGGGCATGGGAGTTGAGGGTGGGAGTGGGGAGCAGGGAGACTTTAAACACACGTTAATTGCAGTTATATTTGGTTGATCCCAGACAATCCCAACCTCACCATTGTCTTCTGAACGATAACATAAGTAGATGGGCAGCTGCTAAGTCACTAAAGCACTTGCTTGAGAAGTGAGTTCAGACATAGAAAGACCTAGAGAAGGCTTAGTGTGGCAGCATGCACCTGTAACGCCAGGGCTATGCAATGAAGGACAAAGTCCTTGTGGATGAGCTAGCCTGGTCTACATGGAAAAGTTCCAGGCCAATGAAAGATTGTGCCTCATAGAAATGGGTAGAGGTTCCTGAGAACCAACACTCAAGGTTGTCTTCTGACCTCCACATGTGTCCCATGTATACCTGCACCTACATATACATGCACATGCATAGGCACATGAATACACACACACACACACACACACACACACACACACACAGGGGAGGGAGGGAAGAAGAAATGAATTGAGCAGACATGAATAAACAGCACATTCCCATCACATTCCTGGTTCTGTGCTAAATTTGACACAATTCTCAATTTTCTTGAGAACAACACAGCAAAATAGATTCTAGATTTAATTTTATTATATAGAAGAAAAACATAATGAGAGAAGTGACAGCTGTCCTAAATCACATGCCCAGAAGTAGTGACCCACTTGCCACACCCTCAGCAACCAGGGAGGCTGTGACTTGGTAAAATCTGTCCCCACAGATGATTGGGCTGATTCCTACTCATGGTTCAGCTTCCTCATCTATGGTCATAATTTGGGCAAACAGTGACCTTGAGAAGACATTGACTCTGAAGCTGCTGTCCTTGACCCTTTTGCAAGGCCTGGGTTAAGGGGCCAAGGACCACATGTAGATGGCAGAATTTAGATCCCCAAAGATTGTGTCAGATAAGATCATCCTTCCCAAGGAGCAAGATCTCAAAGTATCAGCAGTAGCAGCAACTAGAAAACACAATCCAACAGTGCCACCAGCAGCCAGAGGAACTCCCCTCCTGCTCAGATCTTCCATTCACTGAAAGCAAGGTCTTTGACTACTGTGCTGTGGAAAGAATGGCATGGTGAATCCAAATGGAGCAGATTTAGTGACTATTAAGTGATTAGACAGAATCATAGATGTAAAAGACAGTACACATCCTAAGACAAGATGGCTGTGAGCCACCATGTGGGTGCTGAGAAATGAACTCAGGACCTCTGGAAGAGCAGCCAGTGCTTTTAACCGCTGAGCCATATCTCCAGCCCAGACAGTCACAGTGCCTGTGTATATGAACCTGCAACTTTCCAAGGTATGTTTCTCAAGTGATTTATAGTAATTGTGATTTACAGTAAGTTTAAAGATTAAGGAAAACATAAAATTGAAGTAAAGTTTGAAAGTTAAATAAACATGTATGAGCTGGTTTCTCTCTCTCTCTGTTTCTCTCTCTCTCTCTCTCTGTGTGTGTGTGTGTGTGTGTGTGTGTGTGTGTGTGTGTGAATGTTCATGTGTTCCTAAACATGCAAATAACTGTGGAGGTCATAGTTTGTCAGGTGACCTTCCTCGGGAACTATTACAATGCCTCCTACTGGATTTTAATTTTTTTCCCTTTAAGGTGCCCCACTACTAGAGCAGGCTGGGTGACTAGCAAGCCTCGGGCATCTGCCTGTCTTTGCCTCTGCTGGGATAACAAACTGTATTTGTTTCTGCTCTGATTTTTTTTTTCCTTTTTAAATGGATTCACAGGTTTAAAAAAAAAAAAAAGTGAGCAAACACTTTACAAGCTGAAGTATCTCCCCAGCCCAATTTTCTTTCCTTAAAAATTATTTTAAATGAAATATAAGCTGGTTTTAGAAGGTAGACTACTTAGATTTAGGAGTGAGGGAGGAGAACTAAAACAGTCTAACTCAAGGTACAAAAAGGCTGGCCTTAGGTCAGCACAGCTCATTGGTGGTGATGTCCTTAGGAAAAGAGGCAATCTGGGCTTTATTGCCTGTGCTGCAGTTACTTGGTTTTCAGCCAAAAAGAAACTTGATCCCATAGCGAGGGGCTTCTTTTCCCTTTTAGGTACCCTTAATTTCACATCTTTCTATCTAGCCTCCAAAGAAATAGACCAGTATTGGTTCCTGACCTTTCTAATGCTGGGACATTTTAATATAGTTCCTCATGTTATGGTAACACTTCCCCCCCCACCCCAACCATAAAATTATTTTCCTTGATGCTTCACAACTGTAATTTTGCTACTGCTATGAATTGTAATGTAATAACTGATCAGCAACCCTCAAAGGGGTTGTGGCCCACAAATTGAGAACTGCAGTGATAGACAAAGACCGAAAGACAAATTAAGAGATGAACTGACTTGTACAATAAGTGTCATGACTCTACTGTTCAACCAAGACATAAAAATCACCACCGAGGTACAACCAGATGTTCGTGGTCTGTGCTGCCACCTGAACCCATATTGATGTCTGTCCGAGGTCTGAGCTGCCTCCGAGGGCCTCATCTTGGCCTGTGGTCCTACTGAAGCTGGGGGCCATATTTGTGGTCTGTGTTGTCACCAGAAACCATGTGGAGGTCCATGATCCCTGCTCCCACTGACCATGAAGAACAAGGAGGCTACTTTCATTGCTATATCAGTGACTGCAGATACACAGTTAAGGAGGGACAAGGACAGCTTCCCTGACAACGCCTATCCTCCCCCGTCCAAAAAGTGGCAGTCTAGACAGGAAGCCATCAAAGAGAAGTCTTAAGGGGTGTAGTGGAGTGGGGATGTTGAAGTGTAACACGGCTTTGGCATGTATTCAGGAGGGTAAGGACTCAATTCTATTTAAAGGGCAGACCACTGAAAATTTGACCATGTCCCAGTGAGTGTATAGATAACACCAATTAGACTCCCCCCCTTATTTTTGTTTTTGCTTTTTTTGGGGGGGGGTCACAAGGGTCGGGGTGGCCATGGAAGGAGTGGGAAGTGAATATAGTCAGGATTCATGATGTGAAATTCCCAGAGAGCCAATAAAAATGCTATGTTGGAAATAAAACAAAGTCACATGCTCAGGGGATGAAGGAGGACGACTGATGGGGAGGTTGAGGCAGGCCAGCCTGATGTGTGTGTGTTAAATGGGGCTCTGCTGTGGGTGAGCTGCCAAGCTAGTGGAAGAGCGACTGTGTGAGATGCTGCCAGTCTGCACAATAGAGAAAAGGCAAGTTCCTATAGCATTCTGACCAATGTGGCATTTACTCAGGGAGGGATGCAAGTGCAATCCCAAAGCATGCCCAGTCGGAGAAGATGTGGCACACTGGGGCTTGGTTGATTGATAGGTAGGTGTGTTGTTTTTTATGAAGGTCTCATGTAGACCAGGCAGATCTCAAACTCCCTATGTAGCCAAGGATAACCTTGAATTTCTGACCTTCCTGCCTACTGAGTGTTGAGATTACAGACTTATGCCATCTTACACATGCTAGGAAAGCACTCTATTAATTGAGCTGTAGCCCCATCCAAAAACCTTGAAAATTTGATAACAGGTGGTATGTGTCATTTGCAATCAAAATAATTCTAGAGAGACTAGAAGGATGGCTCTATGGTTAAGAGAACAGTTTGCTCTCGCAGAGAATCCAAATTTGGTTCCCATCACCCACATATCACGTGGCTCACAAACCACCTGTAAATCCAGCTCCCAGGACTCTGAGGCACTCTCCTGGCCTCCAAGGGCACATGAAGTCATGTCATGTGTATATAGCCATACATAGACACACAGATATACACATGATTAAAAATAAATATTAATAATAATTGTGGAGCTGGGATTGTAGCAAGGTTGGTAGAGTGCTTGCCTAGCAAATAGGAAGTCCTGGGTTTAAACACCAACACTGCATTAACTGGACATGCATGGTGTCATACATTAGCAATCTCAGTATTACAGAGAGTGAGGTAGGAAGATCAGAAGTTCAAGCCCATCTTTGGCTACTAGTAAGTTTGAGGTGAACTAAGGATGGATGAGACCTAAGTAGAATTGATCAATGGAGACTGTGACATTTTCAGCCAATCTCTGTTTCGTGGAAACAAGGGTGTAGGGTTGGGGAATGGGAAACAGCATAGGGCTTCAATGTGGTGCTGGGTGCTTGTGGGTGAAATTGCAAAGTGCCTGCCTCAGATCTGGGAGCTGTGTCCGTATCCACTACCATGTGTTGAGATGCATGAGTTTCTGAGATAGGAAGGACTACGGGAAGGCTTACAGGGGCATAGGCTGGAGGAGCAGTGAAGAAGGAAATGGTAGGAGAGTCCCTCCCTCTTGCAGGTGAGAAATTGGAGGATCCTCAGCTGTGGTCTTCATGTATGCTAGTTGAAACCCCCCAAGAAGCCCTACATGAGGAATAGAGTGAGAAGGGAAAGTCAAGAGAGACCTAGGGATTGTGGGTAAGTTTGATACTAGGGAAGACATAGGGACAGACAGGCTCAAGGGCCTAGTATACTGAGGCAGAAGAAGCTGAGTTATAAAAATGTGTAAGGAGTCAGGTGCAGAAAGTGTGCGGAGAGGCCAATTGCAGAGTAGGCTGCCAACACACATTTTATCCATAAGGCACCCTCTTTAGCATCCCTGACTGGACCACTTTGTCCCTTCATGATGGTGGTTGAAGATGAGCTCTCAGCTTCCTGTTTCCACCACCATGCCTGCTGTCTGCTCCCACACCTCCCTACCATGATGAATTTTATCCCTATGGAACCATCTTAGTTATTAGTTACTCTTCTTTTTCTATAAAGAGACACCATGACCAAGACAAGCTATGAAAAGAAAGCAATTAAATGGGGGCTTGCTTAT